TCAACATACTTTAGTTTGGTTCTCGAGGAGTCAGCTGACGATGCTGCATCTGTTTCATTTTTTGATGATAGACCTCAGACAGTGAAAGACGTGAAGTATAAACTCATCTTTAAGTAGCATATCTATAAGGGATCTGATTCATACTGAAAATTAAAAATTAGACATTAATAAGGCCCCTGGTCTTGATGGTATCCCACCATTATTCGTGAAGAAATGTGGAGGCTTGCTTGCTACTCCGCTTGCTTTGCTTTTCAATGCTTCTCTGCGCTTGGTAATTTTCCCTGATTATTGGAAGATCGCACACATTATTCCTGTTTATAAGTCAGGAGACAAAACACAATGCAAAAACTACCGACCAATTAGTTTGCTGTCATGCATCGCTAAATTATTCGAATCTCTTGTCTGTGACGCATTGACTATAGTCATGTGAGACCTTACTTGCACCTTAGCAGCACGGTTTCATTAGGAATAAGTCTACCACCACAAACTTATTGGAATATAAAAATTATTTATGTTCAGCTGTTGCTCAGAATAAGCAAGTAGATGCAATATACACCGATTTTTCGAAGGTATTTGATAGGGTTGATAATTTCATTCTTTGTGAAAAACTTGAAGCCTTCGGTGTGCATGGTTGTTTGTTGCGGTGGCTGGAGTCCTATCTCTTGCGTAAAAGTCAGCTCGTTGCATTGAAGGGTATATAACATCTTCACCTGTCTTGGTTACCTCCGGAGTGCCACAAGGGTCGCATTTGGGACCGCTTTTCTTAGTTATTTTTATAAACGACTTGGTCGATCGTTTGCAGAGTCGATGTTTGTTTTATGCTGATGACATGAAAATTTAATCTGAAGTAACTAGTCTACAGGATGCTTTAAATCTTCAACAGAATCTTGACTTGATTTCACAATGGTGTACACGAAAGAAAATGGTCCTTAATGTTGGGAAATGTCAAATCATCACTTTTACTCGAAAGTTAAATAAGATAAATTTCAATTATTCTTTGAATAACAATGACCTACAGAGAGTTTCAACAGTGAAGGATCTGGGAATCCTCTTTGATGCGAAACTATCATTTCACGAGCATTATGACTATATTGTGTGTAGGGCCTCACGTTATTTATCTATCTACGAAAGCTTTTAAAAAACCAGAAAGTTTCATCACTTTGTATTGTGCACTCATCCGAAGCCTGCTGGAGTACAACTCTATTATATGGTCCCCATATTATGCTATTCATATTAACCGTATTGAGGGGATTCAAAGACGTGCTCTCAGATTAGTTTGTTTTAGATACCACTTCATTCGAGAATTCGATACATACGACAAACGTCTAAAGAGGTTCTCATTATCTGGAGTTTCGTCGTGAACGAAGTCATCTTGTTCACTTGCATAGGATTTTACATGGTTATATTGACTCTCCATACCTTCTTTCGCTTATCCGGTTCAACACTAACTGCCGTCGTAACCAAAGGATATTCACGCTAGACGTATATCGCAATAACACCTCTTTCTTTAATCCTATAGTCCATATGTGCCGTCAATATAACGAATGCGTTAAACATAATGCTGATATTGGTATATTTATTTGTAACAGAAACTTGTGGAAATATGTCAAACTTTAGAGGCAAAAGTATTTCAAGGAGCCTATAACGAATATTTTCAAATAAAAATGTATGACACGAAAACATGTTCAAATATCACGTTTAATTTTAACAAATAATTTTTACCTTTAATAAATACTTAGTTTTATTAACCTATATATTTGTTTTATTTCCTCGTAAAAAGCATTGAAAAATGTAGAAAGAAACTCGAGCGTAAAAGGTTTTTCGAATTCGTGCCAATGAAAACCAATTTGGCCCTTATTCGTAAAACCTTACTTTCCGCACTCGTATCTTAAATAACTATTATGATTTAATTCATTTCGTCTGATTAATTTTAGAGTAATAATTTATTATTTTAATTTGATTTGTGATCATTAATTTATTTTATTGAAATTGTAATTATCATTACAATTTTTAATACTATTAAATTATATTCTAATTAAATAAATTAAAATTTTTTAAAATTGAAAAGTTAAATTTTAATATAACACGTTTAGTTATTATAAAAGACACATGTTGTTGGGTTATGATCGGAATCGAATAACTTGTTTATACTATTTGTAATGAAATGGATTGTAATCTGTTGTGTCGTAAATAAATAAATAAAATAAAAACTTCTTCTGGTACTCTTGTTCGAACATAATGTTGACAAGGTTGTCTCAAATGTGCTCTATTGGGTTAAGATCGGGACTGCGTACCAGCCGTGGTAAAACTTGATTGAAAAACCCAATAAGCTCTTTTCTTGGGTAGTTGTGTAAAAAGGTTAGGGAACAGTGATAATGAATGATCCCATAGGAATAATAAAAAAAATTACACAATTGATAAAAATTATCAAAATAGCTTGGTCATGGTTTCAACACAGTAGATATTATGAACTCGCGACCCTATTATACAAGTTATCGGGAAGCTTCATATACCTAATCTTATAGAGTGCAAATTTGTAATAGGGCTCTTAATTAGCAGAATAAACATAATCACAAGACAAAAACTGATATATTAAAGAGTTCACAAACAACTAAAGAAGCTTGAAATTTAAAATTTCACTCGTACTGGTGTTTACTACGTCTTTTCCCCGATATAACTAATTAATAGATTTTGTTTATCAAATCATTATCAGTTTGTAAATACACTTAAACAGGGTTTTCTGAGATCACCCGTGATCATTTCTGACATCAGTTCTTTATAGTACTTTAGTCTCTTATTTGCAATCAGTAATTTAATACATTTCATATAAGATATACAAGGAAGCATGTTACAACGCTCACTATTGATAATAGCACATATTCTTAGTATAATTATATATGTATGGAGTAAAGATTTCGATCCTCTTTCTGATGAATTCATCGATTTCATTAACGCCAATCAGAGTTATTGGACAGCTAGGCGCAATTTTCATAAAGACACTCCTATGGAATATCTAAATGCTCTCATGGGTAGCATTGAAGTTGATTCGGATGATACTGATATCGTTTACTATACACCAGGAGCGGATATAGAGATTCCAAGAAATTTCGACGCCAGAAATAAGTGGACCAACTGCACCACATTAAACGATGTAAGAGACCAGGGCTCCTGTGCAAGCTGTTGGGCAGTCGCTGCAGCCGCATGCATGACAGACAGAATATGTATCAACTCTGATCAAAACTTTTATTTTTCCGCCACCGATATCTTGACTTGCTGTAACAATTGCGGTTTCGGTTGCCAAGGCGGAGCTTTGAGGAGAGCGTGGGAATATTACATAAATGTTGGTGTCGTATCTGGAGGTCCTTATCGTTCTAAGCAAGGTTGCAAACCTTACGTTAAAGCCCCGTGCGATCATAAAACTAGAGAAGAAGAGAGAATAAAATGTAGTGAAAGAGGTACAACGCCTTTCTGTCAAAAATTTTGCGAAAAATCATATTCAATTAGTTACACGAATGATAGACATCGAGGGACAATTATATATAATTTCGAAGATGTTATATCAGCACAAGCTAATTTACTTCTTTATGGCCCTATCACGAGTTCTTTCAGAGTTTATGAGGATTTTCTCAATTACAAAGGTGGCATATACAGACATTTATATGGAGACTATATGAAAAACCATTCAGTCAAGGTCATCGGTTGGGGTGAGGAGAATAATGTAAAATATTGGCTGGTAGCGAATACTTGGAACGTAGACTGGGGTGATAAAGGTTTCTTCAAAATATTACGTGGTGATAATCATTGCGGCTTTGAAAATACTTTAATTGCCGGAAGATAGGTTGTAATAGCAAGACTGTATATGTCCAGTTACTCACTGTATATGTCCAAGTAAATAAAGTAAAAATAAAGTTATTTAAGTTCTACTGCAGTTTCTGATCGAAAATAGTTTGAAAGTTCCTGCAACTTTTTGAATTTCTTGGAGGTTTTACATTTATTAAGGAGGGTTTTAGTAGATAGCCTCTGCACTGTGACTAGTCTTCTTTTTGGGGTTAGTTTCGTATGGGAGAGTTCTGTGAGCACCTATCATTAAATGAACACTTGCTTTACGGCATATGAGGTTTCAAATAATCACAAATTGAAACAAAAAAGAATTTCGCACAGATAGAAAGAAAGAAAGAATGCGGTCCCTCTTTTCCTCGCTTTACAAGCACGTGGTCAAGTTAGATACGCAGCAATGCATTTTCCCTTCGTAAAAATAGGTATATACCATTATACATTTTGTTTGGTTCATTTTTCATTTAATTTATTAATAGTGATTTGGTTTATGCAGCCCCTTTGTAAGATAGAGCCGATGTTATCGTGTCAGATGTAATATAATAGTGTTATTAATTATAGGGAAAAATAATTGATCTATTTTTAACGCGATTAAAACTGGTAATTATATTATTAATACCATGCTGCATAATTAAACTTACAAAAATAAAACACTGTATATGTGTAAATATATAAAAGCGAAACATCTCCCATTCGCCCATAATATCTCAGAAACTACTAACTAACTACTTAAATTTTTAACGGGTGTTCTTTTTAGAACGTAGGTGCTAACTAAAACGGGATTTTGACGCGACATCTGAAGGTGTAGTTTTATAAATAACATTTTTAAAAAAGGTGCATTTTGCTATTGATTGAAATTTAAAAATAGTGTGCGTTAAACAATTTAATAATAGTAATGCTTATCTCTGTAGACATGAATCTTCTTATCGCAGGCAACAGCTATTGAAAGTATGTTGTTGATGTACTCGTAAGTATTCCATTTCAACATAAATTCATTGATTAATTATTGAATTTAGATCGGACTTTCAGGTTATTTTTATGGTTTGATAATGCATGTTTATCCTTAAAAAGGAGTACGTAGAGTACACTTTATTTTATACCTGTATTTTCCCGAGAATGTAGTCAATATTTATTTCTATATATGTAGCTATGTGGTTATTAGTATTAGTACTTATTCTGTTCATAAGGAAAATATAAGCTTATAAATTTAATTCAAATGGTTTTGTAATTTTAGTTGTCACTCTGATATTCAGCTTAGCATTACTTTTGTCGAGTGCTGCTAGCAATATGTTAGTACTTCGGTTGTCAAGTCTTCTTGGTTTAATATTGATATCCTGGGCAAAGTCAGTCGATCAGCTGCATCCACTATCAGACGAATTTATTAAACTTATCAACTCTAAACAGAAGCTGTGGACCGCCGGACGGAACTTTCACGTATCAACACCCCTAAGTTACCTAAAAAGCCTCGCGGGCACATTGGAAGTTAACTCAGATGATATACCAGAAGTTAGTTACGATAATTTTAAATTGGTTCAACCACCAAGATATTTCGATGCTCGCCACGCATGGCCATATTGTCCTAGCTTATACGACGTACGAGATCAAGGCTCTTGTGGTAGTTGTTGGGCTGTTTCAGCAGCATCTGCCATGACTGATAGATTCTGCATCAAAAATGGAGGACGAAAACACTTCTATTTCTCAGCTCACGATATTCTAAGTTGCTGTGTCAGATGCAGCAATGGTTGCGTTGGTGGAATACTGTCAAAAGCGTGGTATTATTATGAAAAATACGGTGTCGTTTCTGGTGGACATTATAATTCCAGTCAAGGTTGCAGACCGTACAATATTCCTCCATGCCAGCATGAAGGCAAGCAAAGTGATAGGCCGGCGTGTCGCAATAGGAGCTCTACACCAAAATGCCAAAACATCTGTATTGATTCATACACGATCAATTACACAAACGATAAACAAAAGAACAACCGACGGAGTTACAAGCCGAAAGATATGCTAGGTATTCAATGGGATTTATTTTTTAATGGCCCCGTCACAACGACTTTTAACTTATACGAAGACTTCCTTAGTTACAAATTCGGTGTATATAAATACACTGTAGGAAAATTGTTAGGCAGACACTCCGTGAAGCTGATTGGCTGGGGCACAAGAGATGGTGTTGATTACTGGATAGCAACAAATTCTTGGAATACAGATTGGGGCGAGCAAGGGTTCTTCCAAATAATAAGAGGTTCCGATCATTGCGGTCTTGAGAGTGGAGCTGTGGTTGGCTAAATTTGTCCAAGTTGAACGATGTTGTATGCTTTACTTTCTTAATAAATTCAATGAAGCAGTTATTGTAAGTACAGTTTTTTTTTCTATTTTAATTCGATCTGTCCCGGCTTCGGACCGCTTGGAAACCGGTTTATTTCTTCGACCGCTTAGATTGAACTGTCTAAATACAAGCGGAATGTTCTAAGGATTTTGTAATAATTTCTATTTAAAAAAACTTTTAACTTATTTTTTACATTGTATGAATACAGCCATGATCTAAACTGCATAATATGGTTGCTCATAAAAATTTGTAATGTAATTATGTAGTAATTTGAAATAAAAAAAAAAAACTTTACGGACAATTGGTATATATTTTAGTTATACGAAAAAGATTACAAAATGGATGACACTATTCTAAAGTATAGATAAGCGCGAGATGGCGCTAGTTTATTCAGTAAATAGGGTTGCGTTCCATTACACTAACAAATTCAAGAGTGAATTCCGGAGATCTATTACCGGAGTGGTAATTTCGACCATTATAAAAGTTTATGTAGATATAGATTTTCGAGACTTCTCGACTTTTTATTTATCGTAATAATGTTAATATTATTCTACTACCTTAGCGCTAGCAGCTTCGCCTGCGTGCTCCTGTATGATACATAAAAATCTTTTTTTTTATCATCCTATCTATTACAAAAAACCGCATCAAAATCCGTTGCGTATTATTAAAGATCTATACATTCATAGGGACATTCAGAGAGAATCTACTTTGATTTATACTATGTATTGAAGTTGCAAATATATCACATTTTTTATAGTAAAATAATAATAACTTATTTCTACAACGTCCGCTGACGGTCAAATAACCGTTTGTAGTAGGTGAACAAATGAGCACTGTTGACAATTTCTTTGTATAAACGGGTTATCACGTCATCATCATTAGCCCTTTTACATCCCCGATGCAGGGGCTCAGACTTTCCTTATGGGTGGTTAAGGAGGATGGGCCATGACCCTTCACACTGGCCAATACGGATTACAGGGTATTAATGACTGCAAATGCAGCCGGGACCAACGACTTAAAGAGAGGCATTCAGTAAAATGAAAAAAAAAACCCATTAACACTCAAAATGATTTACTTGAGTTTTGTATCTGCTTACAATCATCTAAATATGATATACCGAGTATTATGTATACAGAATTGTGTTTTGGGTGTTAATGATAATATTTTAAAAGACTACCTAAGGTTCTATTCAAGAATATGTAACAACTCCGAGCGTAGCGAGCGGACAGCTTAAAAATATGGCTATTACTCATATTATTATTAAAATTTGTAAGTTCTAATTAGAACACATATCTATTTCAACCTAGCATAGAGAAGAGGTACAGCTCTGCTTACATTAATAAATTAATGGTAAGCATTTTTTTAAAGTAAATAAGTACACACGGCTGCTCGCCAGGTTACCACATTGTGTCAATTTCTGCATTGGACTTTGACCGTTATGTATAATATGATGTGCTGTTACAGTGAACAATGTAAAATCAATTAAAATCTTTTGCAATAATACCTAAATACATAAAAGTACCTAAATAAATTCTTATTCAAATTCCTAATCAACAGAGTAAGGCAGATGAAGTCGGTAACCTACACATTAACTACAGCTAAATCACACTCTAAAAAGTTTGAAACAAGAAATTAATTTATTGCCATATACTCATTTAATTGCTGGGTTTTGGCCATTTTAAGACTAAGGTTTTGTTTTGGACCTGGTTTTGTTAATTTTACGAGTAACGATTAAGTAACGGTTTTAGTTACCGTTTCCGTTAAGTTTTGCCATAATGCAATATTTTGAAAATTTGCATCGCTAAAGTCATATTTTATTTATTTATTTGGGTCAAACGGTTTTACAATAGCGTTATAATTTACAAGGTCATGGGTTCGAATTTCTTAAGCATTTATCATCAAGAATATTTTTTATTATAGCATTATGAATGTGAAATTGATTAAATATAATAATGATGTACACAGTTTAATAATTGCAAAACCAGCATCGTTAACCACAAGTTTAATATGAGTAGTTTAAAGTTGCTTATGCTATTAGCTTAAATACTTATTAACAAAATACAATACTACACAAACAAAACTGTTACAATTTTTCTTATGAGTTAGTAAGAAAGCCTTGAAGTGCCAAATGATCAAAAGAGGGCATTGGCCAAAATTAGATCTTCAGCATTGCAGAGGCAATCATTTTATAATTTGTTTTGTTGTTTGTTGTCCGAGATTTGGATATATTTTCCAGGGTTCGCATAAATCCGATATTTATAGTAAATATCAAAATATCCGATATTTATCCGGCACATATCGAATATATATCATGCATAAGAGAACCTGCGATTTTTGAGCTATTAGTGCCTTTATTTATTATTTGATCTTTTAAATTAAAGGTGTAAAATAAAGATTGAGTTTAAGTTATTATAAAATAATTTAAAAGTAGTATGCGTGCGTGGATTTCTAGTAACGTATAGAAAAACCCGAAATTTCTAGTAAGTAAGGTTGCTTATCAAATATTATCAGAACAAATAATTGCTATTACGGGCCAATGTTACTAGCATCACATCGGGTTCGTTAATTTTCTAGCCGAGTATCAATACTCCAACGAAAATTAAATATTATAAATATCAACCGATATATCAGTCAATATATATATCAGTTGATATTTATCAGCGACTCCTGGTATTTTCTCAAGAGCTGATAATAGGATAGGACCAAAACTTTATTACTTTCCGTACCAGTGTGGTTGCTGTAGCCTTTTATCTGTATTTGATTCCAATAGGAAATTAATATTTAAACATTTTCCCTTGCATGTAACGAGTTCGATAGGTTGTAATATTCAGGGTTATTTAAAATAACATCAGCATCTTATAGGAGTTATCTAATATTATGAACAACAACATGTGATCTACTAGTTTTAAGAAAGAAATCTTTGAACAAAAGTAAATTTCAATTTTTTATTGTACTATCGTGACATTAAGAAGTCTATGATTTATTCATAGATGAAAAGGCGACTAGGCTACTCTCATGCACAGAATACTGAATACACGTGAAATACTAGATGCTGGTACAGTTATCAAATTGATTGGTTAATATAAATTTTTGCCTGAAAGCAAAATGTAATTAATTATAAAAAACTGATCAAGTGAGAGTCGAACTCGTGCAAAAGGCTTTCGCACGGTTACACGTTTGTTGTTTGGGTGGCCCTTAAATATTTATTTTATCCTGTTTTTCGGTATTTGTTGTTATGATGGCAACAAATATATGTACATCATGTGTGAAAATTTCAACAGTCTAACGATCACGATTTATGAGATCGGGATCTTAGTGATAGGTGCCCTTTGTACACGCAACCCTAATAATCGCAGATCAAATGTTTGTTATTTATAATGTTAGCTATCTAGTCCTGTGAGTTTGTTGGTGTTTAAGATGTAAATAATTGTAATTATTTGTTCTATTACAATTATTTAATAAACCTTAAAATCATAAAGAACTGTTTTAATGAAAATGATTTGGCATTTCTTAAAAGTAATTTATTGGTCAGACTTGACAAAGAAGATCGCATCATAAGTTCAGTCTCCAGTTTTACATAGTCTATAAAACTATTATCTGTTTGTTTTTGACATTTTTAGAGAGCTTTATTATAAAATTATGGCTTTTATTAAAAATTATGTCAGAATATAATTAATGCGTCCAATAATAATTGCTGAAAAGCTATCGTGTTACAAGCATACATGGTTGAAGAGCTTATAAATTAATGTAGGAGTAAGTACTAATTAGTTCTATCTATAAGCAAACGCTGCGATTTCGTCGTACGACAAGACTAAACACGCTAATCTGTTTAATGTTTTATCTAATCGATGGTCGTAGGTCATTGTGCGAGCTCAAAAATAATTATACGATGGGCCTTAAAGAGCTTAGTCACAGAAATGTGATCAGTGATCAAAGTGAGGTAAGAGACCGCATCGCCAATTTTGCGCGACGTCGACAAAATTGCATCTTTTGCTCGTACAAATACTAGTCAATTTCGCACTTTTCTATTCGAATAGAGTAAAAATAATTCGATACAATGAATCCAGTTAAATAAAATATATACATTCATTATTTTCTTAAAAGTATAAAGTAAGCTGCTCTAACGTCATGTTAACTTAAATAATAATAATCCTAAATAAAATGGCTGCCACAATAATGGCGGAGATCTAGACGATATTCTGTCGGATCCAGGGCAGGAATTTGGCGACATCGGTGAACACGACGTAGTGTGACGGGTCGCAGCGGTATTCGTTTTGTCGCGCGACAGAGAGCGACACTATACCGCGCAAGTACCACGCGTCGCCGATACGGAAAACCATGCCGCCGCCGCTATCGCCGTTACAAACCGATGTGCCTAAAATAAATTGTTCAATATAAATATTAGATAAAATTATTTAGGCTGATGACTTAATTAATACAATTTATCAGAATTGGTTTGGAATTTTATTGAGTTAAAAGTTCAATTCAAAATAGAATGCTAATATTTTCACATATGTGGTAAAAAATGTTACTGCTCACAAGTTAAATAATTTATGGAAATACCAAAAGAATTCCACCAACACCAGCCAGACCAAAGACAAGATAGAAAAGTAGGTATATTTCTCCTCCTCGATGTTATTTTAAAAACGGTAGTTTCGTCGTACGATAGGAATATTGAAGTTTTCAATCATTAATATCTTTGATAAAGATGCGATATACTAAACAATTTCAACAACATAATATAATTATATTTGTAGATTATAAAATAAACTAAATATCTACCAATGTTATCTAAAATAATGTTATCTGTTTGCAGATATCAAGCAGCAAATTTTTAGTTAATATTGTCTAAAGTCGCTATCATACGAAAACACGTACGATTTAAATTTATTCCACTAACTATTTAACTAACTAAGTGTAATTGTAAGTAGAAATAACGGGTCTGATCATGTGAAGCGCCATAACGCCATGGAAGCGGCACATGTGAGTCAGGCCAGAAGAAACGAAACCATTGCGAGCTAAGACTCGATTTCAAGTTCAGTTTTGCAAACGTTTTAAAGCGTTTAATAAGCGCGTTCATTTTTGCAGCTATGTACGATCGTACGTGTATTGCACTATTTTTAGGCACTTACTAAATCATCGCATGATAATTCATTATGCATTAAAGAATCGCATGAAAAATAAGGACGTCCCTAAATTAAAGCATAGCTGCGCATGTAAATGACAACAAATTCATTAAGTCAAAACATTAAATAAAAAATTTGGAAACGTGTAATTAGTAATAAATTTGTTATTTTTACATGCATTTAATGGTCAATAAAGATTCACCTCGCCTTAGTAATTTTAGATTAGAGACAATCTAGAGTAAATACTGTATTTTACAACCACCAGTAAAAACTGTATTTTCGTTGTGTGATGTGTACCAGGGGAGGGACTAGCCGTAGTTATAACAACATTTTATCAATAAATTTGTTAATATTATTAAATAAACATATGTTTTTTTATTATTTATATATTTAATCAAATATTCTGTTTATTTCTGATCTTTTCTTAATTTAGTGAAATTTCCTATAATTTGGAAATCTACTAAAAACATTGATTAAATATGTAAATAATAAAGAAATAACAATTATAAGCGAATAAAAACATATTTATTAATATTACCTATAGAGAATAAGTTTTTATAACTATGGTTAGAGTTCTAGCGACAGAGTTAAGCTATGCGCCCCCAGGTATATTTTTGTCATCGCGACATTTTGTCTCCTGTCACCATGCTTATGAATCGTTGTGATAAGTGCCACTTAAGCACGTGATAGTAGAGATGATGTCTGGGTAAATAAAGAAATTCTATTTAGTCCGTCAATCAGATAAAATATTAGATACGGTTGTTTTGCTTCAATTTATCAAGAAATAGCTTTGATAATAGACATCAAAGTTCATCAAAGGTCTACATTACAACTATGTAGAAAATGTATGTCATGGGACATTTCAACTCAATGTATAGCCGTAGTTTATTGATTACGCTAAAAAATATATATTTAATATTCTTTCATAACCTACCCCCCGGACAGTTAAACAAAAATTAGTTATCATACCTATTCGATTCCTATTCGAAACGATCTGATGATCGTTACCATAAAATGCAATAAAAATAAATAAATAGAAATGACAGGAGCATTTGACTGAAACCATAAGTCACGGTGGTAAAAGTATAGAGAGCATAGCTTTAGGCAGTCGCTATCCTGCAGTGCTTTTCCTTTAAAAATACAGCGTAAAATACAGCGCTGTCACAGCATTAGAGGTTCAACTAAATAAAACCTACTTCTAAAAGTAATGAAGGTTTTATTTTATTGAAACTAGTTCTGCAATAGCGTTGCGTACGACGCTGAACTTTTATCTGAACAGCAACAGGTTGAATGTTAGGTCGCTTATTAAATAATTTTAGTGAAATTGTGCTATATTTTTTTAGTATCGGTCCGGCCTCTTGAATCTGCTTCTTTTGTAAAATTTAATTTTTATGAATGTAAGTTAATACCTACGTAATATTAAGATTTTTATTTTTGGAAAAGTTATTTATAGTAATATCACAAACAAGTAAAGTTTATGTATATCTGAAAAATATGTAAAATTTTACAACTTTATGTGTTTGTTTATAGGGGGCAATGAGGAAGTATTTAAAAAAAAGAAAGCACTAAAAAGCAACTTACTGATGGCGACTCTACCAAAACTTGATTTTTGCAGGAAACGAATGGACCAAAGATAGTAATTTCCGTTCCTTTTAACTAACTTATTTAAAAACTGAAATTTGCCAAGTTCGAAACTTAGATTTCAATGCAAATAAGAAAAATAACAAATAGAATGAGTTGTTTATTGTTTTGAAAATTAATTTCCTTTTATACATCAAAGAAAACCGGAAGGGTTCTCATGGAGAAATCAAGAAAGTACCGTAGCAACATCTAATATGATTTCGAGAACTATTTTTTTTAAATACTTCTTCAATGCAAGTAAACAGCTAGTGTACTATATAAATAATAATTTAAAAGTTGTATGTACCTATTTTCATCGTGTTGTAGAATATCTTTGTAAATCAATTTTTTTTATAAAGTGAGGTAATCTATCATTCAGTAAAATTAAAACAAAAGAGATACAGATTCAAGCTGCCGAATCTTAGAATATTATAATTTTAGTGGATATGTGCTTAATATCTGTTTGTTTCAACATACGTTCTATTGTTCCGGTGTATTTATTGTAGGTTCCTGTAATTAGCATTAAAAATAAATACTTTTAAATAGATCATTTAAAACTTATTACATTATATTTATTTCCTGTTTGTTTGTAATGATTGTATTTAAAAACTACTGGACCGAGTTTAGAAATTCCTTTATTTACATAAAGCTATATATTCAGAAAGCGAGATAGTCTACATTTTATATATTAATATAAGACGTGCGCTATGAAGTTTTCGAGGTTTTTCTATTAATTTTAAATTAGATAAAGTTTAAAAATAAAGACAACCTCACATGGGTAAGAACCAACATCGTAAAGAACAGTAAATGTTAATTCTCATAGTGTTGTTAAATCTTTACTTTTACTTTTTTTTATTTAAAAAGGGGCTCATACTTGATCTGAATCTAGTCAAAGGCCTTAAATGAGGTTTGAATATAAAGGGACCTTTTCACTCTGGCCATATTAAAAAAAAGCAAAAATAACATTAAATGTCAGTTACCGCTCAAATGTTATTATTTTATTACGCTTCATATAGTGCGCCAGCGTAGCGTTGCCCTAATTAAACATAGAAGTATAATAGTAATGAAATTTTATGTCAAATTATTAAGTTATGTTAAAATTCGTACATCTAATGTTGTTGTTATTTTTGGTTGTTTATGTTGTTTGTTATGTACTCCTGTGAGGTCGTGGTTTTTATAAGTAACCCTGTATATTTCTTAGCGAAAAGTCTATAGAAAGAAAATTTTTGGACTTTTGAATTACTCGCTAATATTAGGTTAGCTGATCATCGATTCGACTGAGACATGTAATCATTAAGTATTTAATTATATAAATATGTGCCAAATGCCAAAAACCTTATCATGCTTTTAGATTAATATTACTGACCTCACTGGCCTAAGAAGGCATTTTATAGTTATTTTTGGTTCTAAAACCTTTTTTATTTTTTGTTTCTGCAATTGTGACTCAAAGTGTACTAATAATATATTCTTCTTATATTCTTCTATTTTCTCCTTAATAAAAGTCCAATCCATGCTCAATAGTCGATAACATGAAATTTTAATGTTATATAAAAATAATATTTATATATCAGTTTAATGACCATCTAATTAATTTTAGGGATAATTTGTGGTTTTATCATATATAATATTGTACACCAAGATCTAACTAGGCATAACTAAATGAAAGCGATATATGTCCAGAACGTAGGCTATGAGCCAATACAACGAAATTTATATGATCCTGAACATTAATAAACCAGGCACAACGAGGAGACTGTGCTTATATAGTTCTATATCATATCCTTGTTGTTTCGTAAGTAAGTCTTTCGATGAAAGCTAGTTAAATATATGTTCTCGAGTCTCACCATTCTTGTAGCCAGCGCAGTATGTGTATTCAGATGTGAATCTAACGAAGAACTCGCTGTATGACCTGATGCAAGTCTCCGTGTCGACGACGGGCATCTCCACGAGGCTCAACTCCTCAGTCGCCACACCTGTGTCGTCGAAACCCCATCCCACCACCTGCATACACAGTATTGTTTAATCTAGGGATCTTGGTAGAGATTGGGTTTGGGAAAATGGTTTGGCAATCCCTGGTCAAAACAATGTCGACAACTCACGGATCCTCGTTTGCCGACGATGCTGCTGAGCGTGACGTCATTGTCGGGCCACAGGCACGCGGGCTGCACCCACTCGGTGTAGGAGACCCGTTCCCTCAGCTCGAGGATCGCGAGGTCGCGTTGGTACGACGACGCGTTGTACTCGGGGTGTTTCAGTATGTTGGACACCTATATATTATTTTTATTGGCAATTTTTGATTTCTTTATACAGGGTTATTTTTTATCAGCTTTTAATTTTATTGAATAAAAAAATATAATAAGTTTATCGTGAATTAACAGAAAGAAAATATTGAGTAAAAATTGAGTTTTATTTATTTATATCTAATTAACAAGAAAAAAAACCTTTTCAAGTAGGTTTTATTTGCGCATAGCTGTACTGACCAGTCTTATCTGCACTCCTTCCACCGAGGTCCTCAGGTTATGTTTCCCGAGGTACACGGTTAGGGTGTTCTTGTTTGTGACCCGGTTGGAACCCTTCAGCGTGACGCAGTGGGCGGCCGTCACCACGTGCTGGTGGGACACTAATGTACCACCGCATATGTATTTGTTGTCCACAGTCTGTGGATATAATAGAAAAATTAAATAAAACTACTTTTGAACGGTTTTGTCGCGTATATTTTTTAAAAACTCTGAGTTTATTTCGTTAGTTCTTCTGTCAGAACTTCTGGAGGTTATGATAGTCAAACAAGCAATAAATTAAATAATTCAAATATATTTTAATAATAATTTAATCAGTACAAATGTTGCTAAGTAGATAATAAAAAAAAGTGTGAACAGTGTTGCATATGCATACACAGATTTCTCCGTATTTATACAGATTTTCGGTGTGTAATACAAATTAGCACTGGATACTGTCTGACGGACAAACAAATAAAAATTAGTCGTCATCCCTATTGACCCGATGACGACTAATTTTTATTTGTTTGTCCGTCAGGTAGATTGTTAAAAAATATTAAACACATATTTCTTTTTATTTTTTTCGTAATCATAAAATAACGGCGATACATGGAATTGAAATTTCGCATGACGTTACATTATGGTACGTTTTCTACTCAATAGTGATGTAGCGAGCCCCCACTCCTCAACTTTAATGCCTGTTATCTAAGCTATTTCTTGTTAAATTGAAGTAAAAAAAAATACGTATTTAGTATTTTTCTATTATCTGAGTGATGGACTAAATAGAATTGCATTTTTTTTACCCAGTCATCATCCCTATTGCCTGAACATTGATGAATATATGCTAGTGTAGCAGCGAAAAGTACCAAACAAGTGCCTGTAAAATTCATCAATCCTATTAAGTCCTGGGTTGCTCAGTGGTCACCCGGATTGCGAAAGGTCGTGGGTACAATTTCCATCTCAGAGTACTTTGTGCAGGTCTATTTTTAAAAAAAATTTCATTAAGAATATATATTGTGTTTTTTGTGAACGATTATCTATCAGCATCCAAAACACCTAGAGTAATGCAAATGTTTATTCGGAATTGGATGGAAGATTCTTTCTGTAGGGCATGGTTGAGATCTAGTAATAAAGGTGATTGATTACTTTGCTTTTTGTGCACTTTGTTTTCCTTTGAAAGTGCTAGGAAGAACGATCTCTAATTATATGTATGTGTTGCAAATTTTTGGGTTTTAATCTATATATGCACATAAGTACTAAATAAAACCTTTATTTTAGTAATTAGTGCATACTTGTATTTAATTAACGATAATCAAACCTTAGTCATTTATTACTTATGCCTTATTTTTCAAAAGAAGCAATGATGATTATTATCAGAAAATATGTTTTGATTTCTTTGACCATACGGATTTGTTACAGATCTTAAAATTAAATTAGTACAGATTTTGCAGTTCCTAATACAGATAATTGGTTCAAGGCATCTGGCAACACTGATTACGGATATGTATTATAATACTTATTGGATAAGTATTTAATAAGAGTTCTTCCGCCATCATACTCGTACCTGGGATTGGTACAAGGCTATCTGCCAGGGCCACTCGCCCTCGTAAGTTGGTGAACCTCCCACCACCAGCGGGTTAGGGTTCTGCCGCATCACCTTGCCGCACTGTTCCTGAAAAATTTGCAAGAATATTAATCTCAAAGTGATAGAAATTAGTCGATAGGACTATATTTTTTATCAATGAATGTTCTTTCTTTATAAATAATTTATTAAACCAATGATTTTGGCTTAGGCTTATAAGTATAGTAAGGCGCGCACAGGTGACTTTCCACCTGTGATCCTGAGCGCGTTAAGATTTTAGTATGAATCAACTATCAAGAACTACAAATCTCCATACAAAGTCTTAACGCGGTCACTAGCGAACGCGTTAACGTAAACCTTACTCTTAGCACTCTGAAAATCATCAGCTATACGATCAATTTTCTGTTACCTATATGATTTTGATAAACCAAAATACTTTTTTCAAATCTGAATAAGGGGAAAATATATGAACTATGACAGTACAGTATGTATATTAGGTATCAATAACCCATATAAAAATCCCTTATATTTTTTAGTTTAGTTTAATTGAGTCAATTGTCTGTCATATACTTTTAGACAACGCGCTCCATAGCGATTTTTCAATCGTGTCTTAGATATTGTTTCTGTCATTGCTCATGTCATTTCTATTTAAGCAACCTAATTGCCCAGTGCCATATATACACACATATATACAATTCATATAAACACTGTAGTCTTTGGCCCAGTGTTTATGTGTTCGTGCTACTATGGATTCTCAAGCACGGTGATAAGAGACAAAATACCTCGGTGACAAAATGTCGCCAGTGTGCACGTAGCTTTAGGAACTAAGCAAAAATCTGATGAAGTTTAATCCGCGGGAATAATATTTAAAGTAAAATTTAAGAACTGCGCTGTAAAAACATAAATAATTAGTCTATTGTAGTAGATATCTATTAGTTTTTATGACTTCATATAACTTCTTGACAAGTTTTTCCTTAAAACTTAATCTACATAAGTACGTAACATATTTATTTTCCGATTCCGCATCAGAATGTAAACAGGTTTTGTAATTATTATCAGACGTCGCTGATTTTAATAGGGAATTTACCTATAACCTAATCTTTTGTTGCAGGTGATTAAAAACTATGATAGCTTAATCTTAGGGCAGGCCAACCCAAAATATTATGTTATAAAATTAAACCAATTATGTAAGCGTTGAAAGTTAACGATACATATCGTTATCTACCCACTTAGAACTCTGTATCGTTGCCGCGAAGTACTGCCTATTGCTGTATGGAGTGAAAACAACGACCTGTCGCCATAATATAATTTCTTTAACATTAATTGTAATTTATGATAATTATGACTTTGACAGCAGTGTTACAAACTCATTCATTTATCCCAAAATTCATCCAACAAAAGACGTAAAATCAAAGTAGTCAAATAAAAGTCAAAGTAGTAAAATTAAACGAAATAAGCTAACATCGGTAAGATATTGTATCTTATGGCTACAGACATAGCAATACGTTTTATGTTAATATTTATTTATTATTATTTATATAAATAAACAAACATTTTACTCTTTTCGGTTTTCTTACTTAACTTTAATAATTTTGTCTTAATTTGACTTCTCTTTAATTTAGTTAGTAAAAAAATACAACAACTAAAACAATAAAAAAACATGTTAATAATAAGACATGTTAATTACAAAATTATATCACAATATTTATTCATAAAACCTATTTTATAGCTATAGCTGTAGCTACAGCTATGGGTCATACAGAGAGTTCGAAATGATTTATGTATGTATACCTATATAGATTTCTCGAAATTGGATTGAAAATGAAAGGACTTGGATATAATATGTTAGTGTTTAACGGATAGTAAGTAATACCTGTTCTTTGTTCCCTTCTCCGAAGAACGAGGGTCTAGACGGGCTCCCTCTATCTGGAATGATGAACGTGGGTAGACCACCTTGGAAAACTTCATCTCTTCTGGAATAAAAAAAAAAAAATAGTTTTTTTAAATAACGTTATTATGCACTAGCTTTTGACCAGCGGCTTCCCCAACGTTCGACTCTAGGGAACCGTTTAAGAGTAGTAAAAAGTATTTTAAACAAAATGGGTTGTAAAATTAGGCAATTAGACCCTGTTCTCTAACGTCTTGCATCCTCATCATCATCATCATCATCAACCTTTATATGTCCCCACTGTAGGGGCTCAGGCCTTCTTTATGGATGGTTATGGAGGATGAGCCATGACCCGCCACGCTGGCCCAATGCGGATTAGCGGGTATTAACGACTACAAATGCAGCCGGGATCAACAGCTTAACGTGCGTTCCGAAGCACGAAGTAGCTCGATAATAATATTTTTTGGTCACCAATCCCGTGACCGACCTTTGCGAAAGTTGCTTAACGACAACGATCGCGTGCCGCGGCACTTATACACTACGCCACCGAGCATTCTAGATATAGTAAAACCTTTATTGTTTCATATTTCCATAATGCTTTATCTACTTAATTTCGAATCTGAGCATTGTATGTGATTTTGTCTAACGTAAATTTATTAATAGTTAAATTCCCTGTTCTAAACAGATAACACAATCTAGTATTTGTCGCATGTCTAGTACCTATTGTATCTTTTGTTAGAAACGTCAACGAATGACGTACACTTAGAGACGCACAGTAGGTACAATGACTGAAAATTAACTAAACAATGATTAAGGCAGATAAAAAATATGGTAATGAATCTCAATTTGATCTGCCAACAACTTTACAATACCTACTAAAAGTATGTTTTGTTTTATTTAAGAAATCTAAAAAGTTAGTTTTATTTACATCTAAAATAATAATGACCTTTCATGACACACAAATATGTGGAGTTAAAAGTGAAGATATTTATTCATGATTCTTTGTGTCCCAAACTTCGACTTAATTTAAAGTTTGCACTGCGAATTATTAATAAAAAGGTTATCTTCAGTTTTGTTTCGTAAATGATGCAAAAAATAAATGTCGCGTGGGTACGGGACAAGCCACATGGGTATGCGGCTTATTGTCTAATTGATTTAAGAGTTTATCATTCTACATATAAACATTCTGAATTATCATACTGCGTGTCTGCGTCATACACCATCTTTAATGTCCGACTGGTGGGATGAAAACTCGCCATTAGTTTGCAAGTCAATTTTTATTTATTCAGTGTATTTTTTTGTACTGTTCTATATACTATTTACATTTTGTTACTTCTCCTATCGTAAAAATCCCTTTTACGTTGTCTTTTACGATTTATGATTATTGTTTTCTAATTCATTAAATAAATTATAGATTTTTACCTGTCGCCACTGTTATTATCGTCGTCTTCTGGTTGAGGCCGTGGGCGTGGTCTCGTGGCCGGTCGCGTCGGTCGTGGTGTGAGCCTCGCTGGAGGCCGAGTCACAATCTGGAAGTTGTTCGTAGGTGGCGATTCCCCACCACCACTGAAACACATGGCTGGGTAAGGCTGGATTCTCATATTTCCACGCGCACTTAATATAATACGGAACCAGAAGCCTAATTGTCCAATTTTGAAATCTATCGCACTCCCTTTCAAAGTCATAGAAATTGTCTTCATATTATCAATCATGGAATCGCAATGGCTTTAGGAACAGATGATTTGAACGGTCAAGAGACTATGCTTTGACAATGACAATGCTTTATGACAATCAAGCAATTAATGTTTTCGATATCGTTCATTCAATATCTTTCAAACGTATTCCTGATCATTTAGGTGAACCACGGGCAAGAAAAAGTGCCCGTAATCAACAGGCGAACAATCAGGTGTATGGAAACCGATGAGGGCAGTTTTGGGGTACCCACGCGCCCTTTTAAAACTAAAGATCATCTTCATGTGGCCTTGTTGACCTGTAAAAATGTCTCTCCGATATCCGAATGCTATTCAAATACATAATATATATTAATATATTTACGAAACGAGAAAAATAGTATACACGGGCGCACGTCACTACACACCGTAGGCAGACCTCTGTTGGTAGAGAAGTTCTATACGTACGCAGTCGGTACAAAGTCCACAATGTATTATAATCTGACTTGCAGCTGTGCATACAAAGAAAATATGCCTTTTTACAAAATAATTCCGATACGGGGAAGTCCCAGAGAATGCGGAAATTTTAAGTACGAAACGGATACTGGTTTTTAAAAGCCACTAAATTATAGCAGTATATCAAATTTACATAATTGTATTTTTAATTTGAAATCATTTGGGTTTGTTAACGACTTTTAAATTATGTTTACTGTAGAAACGGCTTTTTTAATATCCATACCGTTGGATTAGAAATGTCATTTGTACGAAAAAAAAAATCATTGGTACGAACCGGTCATTTAAATCATAATAAATACTCCATGCACAAAGAAATCAAAATTACATAGACACACATAAATATTTATGTAAGACGTAGAAATGGCGGCTTTAAATTGTAAACAAGAAAAGGATTGTAAACAATAAATTAAAAGCTTAAACTTCATTAAAATTAAGTACAGGAATTAATTAGAAAAATATTTGCCACTCAACTGAATTTCTGATTGATGGTTCAATTCAGAATAACTGAAATCTACATTGGTTGCTTTTTAAAACTATATACTCGTACTATTTGGTCGCCTTTTAATTATTTGTAGTCTATCTATATTGTATACTTGCCACACTCGCACGGACAACATATAACAATAAGTCTATAAAAAACAAAAATCCCGACTGCGTAAAAACGAATTTCAAATTTTACCAATCAAATCTTCCCAAGGGGCCCCGACTATGAGTCGTTCTGTTCTGTATTACTTAACAGAATTCTAAACTACAGGGCTTATTTCTTTCTTTTTAGTTTTTATTTAAATTAATTCTTTCATGTATTTTTTTAAATTCGTTTTTACGCAGTCGGGATTTTTGTTTTTCTTTAAATTATTTATTTTTATTTTATACTTTTTAGTTACGATTCGTTGACTTCGTTATAAGATGGTAAATTTCGCAGCTAAGTTATTTCATTGAGGGAGTTAATATCGTGAGGATTAGTCCCTCTAGAGACCTAACTCGGCTCAAAGCTACATTATGCTTTATTTTTTTACTAAAAATATTTGTTCTTCATACTTTTTCACTGTTTTTTTTTTGTTTGTATACCGTTTATACTTTAAATGAAAACTTTAATCAATGAGTAAGAAAATTAGCGAGAATGTTTTGTTAAACAACTTAAAACCGTTATATATCCTAAACTATCATTTAAAATGAAAAATTATAAAAGGAACCTAAAGATGATTTTCTTCTTCTTCTTCTATTTTAATGACTATTTTGTGTTAACCACAATCCTGCCAATTTCACGTAGGAGAATTTTAAAATACCCATTGAACGACACCCCACTTGACATAGTTCATAGATATTTATTTTTTTCATTTAGACAATATGGCGTCTGGTTGTCGCTGTGGTGAATTTTGATTACTGTCAAGTCTTTAGTGACACTCGCAAGGTTAAGGCGAATCGATTGACGTAAGAATTATTAAAATCGGCCTATGCAATATATTTTTGAATATTAAGCCGTACGTAGGTACATACATTATGTTTTTATGAATAAAATTTTAAGTTTTTACGTAGATGGCAAATCTTTCAACGGCCGTTATCATAAATAAATAAAGCTTCACCCGTAGACAAAGCTTGCAAAAAATCGAGTAAGACTCATTTGAGTGTTCCCCTCCACGGAAATCTTTAGTAAAAGGCGAAAGATTTATGCGTTTTGAAGGGAAACCAGAGTACAACTGAAAATATTACTAAACTATTTATTAGATACGAAAGCGCACAGCTCTTGCGCGATTTAGATGTGTACAGCGCCATCTAGTTTTTGACAAAATAGTTATCGCCTTGTCAATAACAATTTATCAATCAACCTTCAATCCCGCGAACTTCGTACCGCTTAGATTAGTTGTCTTGAGGATTTTCGTCACAATATTATTAAATAATTATATGTGATTTCTGTCTTATGGTATACCTCTGTATTATAAGGTTTTCACATAACATATTGTTTTTTTTTCGAAATTTCACATCAGCTTGTTTTAAAACATAAGTAACTAGTCTTAAGAGATGGGATAATAGTTAAAAAAGAAATGAAAAAAAAACAGCCAGTGTTCAATACTTATTATTATTACTTTTTCGTGTCTATCAAAATACAAGAAACAAAATATTAATCATCGTCACTGTTGTAATTAATTACAATCGGAACACTTTGAGTCGCAAATAAATTAGTTAGGACCTCAGCAGGACGTACGATTTTGGACAAATATCATCCATATGATAGATAATAAATAATAGCTGCTACATGAGAACAGCATCCCACTGTACATTTGCCATTGGGGCAATCACAGCAATAACGAAGAATACTATTGTAGTCATTACCTTCGGAAATATAGTGAATGTAAATTCGATAGATTTTTCTATTTATATGTCTTGATTTTACTTCTGCTTTGATGATATTAGGTGCTGATTTCACATATTGTACTGAGAGATTATTTTGATCGTCCATTATTTCGGCCAAGTTAAATGCTGCACATTTAGAAGTAGAAGCTTTTTTGTTAATATATGGGATAAGTCGATACTTCTTACAAAAAATATCATTAACTATTACGACTTTCACTAAACACTTTAGCTTCTTCTTCATTCTTTATAATTTTTTTATAACCAGGAATCTTACTAACTAACTAAGTTATTTGCGACTCAAAGTGTTCCGATTGTAATTAATTACAACAGTGACGATGATTAATATTTTGTTTCTTGTATTTTGATAGACACGAAAAAGTAATAATAATAAGTATTGAACACTGGCTGTTTTTTTTTCATTTCTTTTTTAACTATTATCCCATCTCTTAAGACTAGTTACTTATGTTTTAAAACAAGCTGATGTGAAATTTCGAAAAAGAAAACAATGATGTTATGTGAAAACCTTATAATACAGGGGTATACCATAAGACAGAATTTCACACAAAGTTATATTTATTATAATTCAAAAAGAACTTAGAGAGTTCTTATGGAGAAAAATAATTCAATAGAATAGACACCAAAAAGTACATATTTAAACACATTTGGTGATTATTGTTTATTTATTAAAACCTATAATAGTGCATATTATGTGCACACAACATATCAGGTAACTAGTAGGTTAGTTAGGTTTAACAAGCTAGCTTAAATTATAATAATCCTTTCTTAGTGAGCCTCTATGTCATAATAACTAAGTATGTTAAATGTTCACATGCTTGCGTTTCACTAAACTATAAACGTAAGAAAAATAAAAAGCGGAGAAAAGAATTAATAATAAAAATAAAAGGGGCGTTTTTATTTTGCCCAAAAGTATACATAGATTTGTCAAACTTTATTTCATAATGTAGTACTTACATATCTGATGGACTGGGCGAATTCACAGGGTGTTTGAAAACAGGGTACTCTTGCTGATCTGTCGGTGGCTTCGGCCTTACAGGCGTAGTGACAGTGCCTGGCTCCGGCCTTCCTACAGCCGGCAGTGGGTTGTCGGCGTTACATATCTCCCTGCCGTTCAACCTGATGGCCTTCAGTTTCGGCGTGGGCGGATTCAACGTGTTATATTGGACGAAAAAACGCACGGCCAAAGCCGGCCCAGGATGGATCATCATCTTCGTGTTTTCTATCTTGAAGTCTATATTATCTGTTGTTGTTACGTCACCGATCCAGTTCTGTGAAATATAACGGGTATAATGTAATGGGTTATAAGTCCAATAACGTGTTGTTGTTAGAGGGTTCAAATAAGAATGCTGTTAAAAATAGTTACATGATAATTAAAAAAAGGAAGTATATTTAAAAAAGAAAGAATTGATCGTTTTTTTGTTTGCATTGAGTAGGCTCCACACTACTGAACTGATTTTAAAAATTTATTGTTAATTTATTGTGTTAGAAAGTTAAATGAAAAACAATGCTTTAATAGTATAAATCATAATTTACTTCTTTCAAAAACAACACCATTGCAAAATGTGCAACTGCTCTATTGAGCTAACCTAATTGAGTTGAGGTCTCAACCTTATCGAGGCTCACTATTTTCGGATTATATCATATTGCTTATATACATTATATTCAAATAAAATTGAGATATTTTCCATCAAATATACATCATCATCATCTGCTCTTTTACCCTCTGCAGAGTCTCAGGCCTTACTTATGGATGGTTAGAGAGGATGGGCCATAATCCTCCATGATGGCCCAATGCGGATTCCTAAGCACAGAGTAGTTGAGATAATAATTTTTTGGCCAATCATCTCGTGACCGACTTTTGCGAAAGATGCTTAACAACAACGATCGCAGGCCACGGCGCTCACATGAAATATACACAGACTTTTAGTATCTAACGTAAATAATTATTAAAAAACTCACTCCCAAAATATCTGCCTTTCTATCCAACACAATATTAAGCCACAAGGAATGCAAGGTGCTATCGGTGGATAGGTTAACGTTGCCGTACCACCGTCCCGGCTCAGTGCCAGGTGGCTCATACTGGAACACGTTAGGACAGGGGGATATCGGAACTTCTTGCTGTTGGGGACGGCTTGGTACGGCCAGTGCTATCAGCAGAGCGCACAGGGTCTTAATCTGTAGAGGGAAAAATATTTGTCTTAAAGAAAAATATCAATGTAGCTTTGCGAATACGTATCGTCTTATAAAAATTTCGTGTTTCGATCAATATCATTGATAAAACTTAGGATAGTTTTTTCTCAAATATTATCAAAATTATTAGAAAAAAAATTGTTAAACTTATTATAATTACTGAGCCACAACAATGTGATGTTTTCTAATATTATAAACATATAAAAAGTTTCTTACTTTGTTTGTTTGTTTGTAGGAGGGTATTATTCGGAAATACTGGTGTGATCATGAAAATTCTTTTTAAAAAGCACCTCACTAGATGGCGACTCTACCAAAAGTTGATTTTTGCAGGAAACGAATGGACCAAAAATGTTTCCGTTCCTTTTAATTAACATATTAAAAAACTAAAATTCGCAAAGTTCGTAACTTAGATATACAAATCCGAAAAAGTACTAATAGAATATGAGTTGTTCATTGAGTTTTATAAATTCATTTACTTTTATACATGAAAGAAAACCGGAAGGGTTGTCATGGAGAAATCAAGAAAGTACCGTAGCGACATCTAGTTTGATTGCGGGAACTAATGTTTTTTTAATACTCTCTCATTGAAGCTGGTAAAGTCGCGGGAAAATAGCTAGTAAAAAACTATATTAACATTTTCACATCATCTCTTGCGTGAAAATCGACGAGTATCTTTTGCTTTTTTTGACATTAATGATTGTTCATACATATTCGTTAGTATATTGGCTTCTCAAATCACTTTAAACCTATAAATGAGTTACTAAATAGAGTGAATAAATATTTAAAGATTCATATTTAGTTTATAATTTAATTATTCTTTGTTCGTGTTCCTATTCACCTTGACATTTTAAATGTAACTACATTTTTATCAATTCTCAGATAGATTCAATATGTATTTTCCTGTTTATAATTATTTGTTGGCGATTCCCATGATGCTTAAAATATTCTAAGCGGACTTTAAAACAATGATAATTAGATATAAACAATGACGTAAAGAGGGATGATGATTGGGTAAAAAAAAAACTATATTTAGTCAGTCAGTCAGAAATTAGAAAGAAAATTGTGTACGTATTTTTTATGTTTTAATTTAACAAGAAATAGCGTAGATGAAATTTAAGTTGAGGAGTGGGGGCTCGCTACGTCAAAACTATTTACAAAACGTACAAGGTGTGACGTCACGCGACATTTTAATATACTTCAATAATTTATCTGACAGACAAACAAACAAAACTTTGTCACTGTCCTTTTTTATTGCACCTTTACAGAGATATAGATAAACCACACTATTGAGTGCATACCCTTAAACTATATCAAAGGTTAAGGTATTTTTTTATTTCGAATTTGTTCAATTGGAGAAAAGAATGTTATGCCCATTTTCACAAAATCAAGAATCGCCCAAATATTAAGGAATCGTCTAAGGTGAAAATGTATTTCACCAATGACTAGGAACCACCTAATGGCATTAGGCACATGTGTACTGCGGCCCTTTGCACTAGGCATTTACGTAATATGACTGGTCACAGATGTGTGAAGTCAAGGGATAAATGAAAAATATTTATTTGGAATTTAAACTAATCCGTTTAGGCGATTCGTAAGATTGCGCGTTTCCTAATTAAGCTGTGCCTTGTAACACGGTATTATTAACGTAATGGCGTGCAACTAAGTAATAGTATTTTTGACACACTGATTCCGTCAATATTGAGCTTCATTATAAACTTATCAGAATTTCATTACATTACAAACATATCGAATTGAAATCCCGCTATTAAAGTACAGTAGCGTCATCTAGTGATCAGTAGCGTCAGCTAAATGTAACATTTTCGTGAACTTACCAATATAAAACATACATTTAATATTAGCGACAACGATGGTACCGATTTTTATTATTCAAAACATTATTTAATCGTAGGATTATACAGCTTAAGGTAAAACATGGAATATAATTACAATGACATGAAATACAATGATGAATGAATTTAACAACAGATTTTAACAATAGAAAATAAACATTAGAATGTGGAAAGATTTGTTTGCTTGATTGTTTGTTAGCATTGAATAGGCTCCGAAACTACTGGACCTATTTAAAAAAATATTGCTACATTATACGTGGTCAACATAGGTTCTAATTTACGCGGGCGAATCCGCGGGAAAACGGCAAGATAGCAAAAGAAATCTACTCCCACTGAGCTAAGCAACAGCAACAATATATTTCCTGTTCTCTCCGGAGCAATTATTCAACTAAAAGTCACACAAAGACCTTCTAACAAACAAAATGAAAACTTATTACTGAAGGTTAGGGAGCAACAGTGGCTTGAAATAAATATTTGTAAACAACTGCAGTGACTACGTGTTTGTTTTGCTTTTTTGAGTTTCCCTAAGTTATTTCCCTAGTTGAGTTTAACTGAAAATCGACCCGTGATCTTAGAGATACAAGCTTACGGACCCTAGTCCGCAGCTTAGCGTATTTGTTTTATGTACGTAATTGAATAGATCATTTAAAAATCAGATTATTTTAAAAACCAAAAGAGAGTTTAGTCTGTATTCGTCTTATAACAACAGGAGTACTCACTTTAGTACCAGGTTTACATTATCCGACTAAAATAAGTCAACACGTCTCAATTTGACGTTTTCTTTTTGTCATTGCAATTTGCTTAGGAGATTAATAGTTTTATTATGTATATATTCTACTTCATATGGTCAGGAAGTATTTATTGGTCCTCAAAAAGTTGTTTTATTTGCGCAGGAAGGGTTACTTACCGAAAACGAGAAAAAAAAAACGTTTGTCGTATGGGAGCCCCATTAAATATTTATTTTGTTCTGGCTTTTAGTATTTTTTGTTGAAGCGGCAACAGAAATACTTCATATATGAAAAGGTCAACTGTCAGGTTTTTTCAGTTCATGAAAAACAGCCTGGTGATAGAGATATATACAGATAGGCAAGTTTTAGTAATAGGGTTTTACCATTTGGGTACGGAACACGAAAACAAGGAAACTTCGGTTTTATTTTGTAAAGCCCTGTAAAACTTTGTGGTATATCTTATCTAGAACTATTGCTATTTGATCTGCATTAGTCTGGGTAGTTCTGGGTATAAGTAAAAAACTATGTTTATATTTACAATATCCATTTTATATGTTGACATTTTCGAATTTGCTCCTATATTAAGACACAATTTACGTGACCAAACATCATCCATCACATAAATTACATATTTACATAAATTTGAAGAGGTTTCACGTGAGGAAATTGTGATGCATACTCGATAGGGATGACGACTGGGTAAAAAAAAGAAATTCTATTTAGTCCGTCAGTCAGGTAATACGTATTTTTTTGCTTCAATTTAAACAAGAAATAGCTTAGATAAAAAGTTTTAAAGTTCAGGAGTGGGGGGCTTATTACGTCACAGTTTTGTAGAAGATGTACAAAAGCGTGATATCATACGACATTTCAACTCAATGTTTCGCTGTAATTTATTGATTACGTAAGAAATAAAAATACGTCTTTAATATTAATATTCTTCAATGATCTACCTGAAGGACAAACTTTTTTTTTCAATAGGACTTATTAAAATGTAGTTAAACGTTTAATTAAATATAGTTGAACTCTATCTATCTTATTATAAAAAGAGGATTAACTTTAGCCTTTGGTTTACCATTGACCGCCAAACGCACAGAATACTTTGACAATAGGGGATCGCACAACTTTCTAAAAACTGTTTATGCTTATTTTTACAAAAACATTATTTATATAAATGTAACTCATTATGTACCCAAAAGTTTGTTTTAAGTTTAACTGTTTAAAAAACCGCATAAACGGCGACTTGGAGGACGTGACGTCATTTGTGACGTCGAAAGGAATTTTCAATGAAAGTAAAAAAGTAAATCAATAAAAGTAAATCAGTAAATTATTTTGAACTTAGAATTTTTACCGCGCTTTTCTAGATACTTTTACTACCTTTTATCTAAGTTTACCCACAAATGACGTCACCGCTCTGATTGGTAATAAGTTTGACGTAATTCACACTGAAAATACTGGAAAATTATAATTTTGTTAAATGATTTAAAAATAGAAATAAATGTTATCTTAACTTTATGAGCTTTCCAATCACACACAATTTAATTTTTTATCGAATTGCCGTCCGATCCGCTATTTACAGAAAAGAAAATAGACAGGCGTGTTAGCTTATTTTGGTTTTATCTAACCAAAACCTGAAGGCCTGCAGAGCGATCGTTTATCTCCTCTAGCTGAAAGTCTAGTCATAGGATAAGAAATTTAAGCGATGTTATAGCGCTATTTAGTTTTGTTTTATTACTTTGACACGTACTTTTATTACAGAGCAATGATACGGATTTAACAGCGGTGTTTTCAAATTAGTTATTTATTCACCAAAAGACGTCAAAGATGTAATAAAAAGTTGTCATAATATAGGCTAAAATGTCGTATCCTATGGCTAGAGTTAGGTAAGGGGGTCGCACCCTCTGCTGTGCTTCTCCGAAAATGAAATGTCGTCATTCAAAAAACAAAGAATCTTTTTTTTGTATACAGCACGTATACGAAATAACTGGTATATTATGTATAAATTAGTATAGGTAGGTAATTAAGAATGATGTCTTCGTTAAGACTACGCTCGAGTGGTCACGGAGCCGGATAAGACACTCACGTAGTCTAAGAGATCGTGACAAAAATGTGCAAGAGCTATGGAAAGCTTGATATTTCATGTGTTGAAGTACTAAGTGGTAAATATCACGCAGTGCCCAGTCCGATTGTCAGGTGCTGGAAATAAGATGTTCCATTCAGCAGCAGGTCAGCGGGTTTTTTTGTAAAGTACGAAAAATCATAACATAATTATATAAAAGGTGCTTTTATTTTAAAATTTGAGAAAAATCTGTTCTTTTTAATTAAAAATTAGCTTATTCCAAAAATATTAGTAGTTACTGTATAAGAAAATACTGAGATTTTCATTTAATGTAACAAACACATTCAGCGT